TGCCCCCCTGCCCCCCTTTCCTGGCGGGGGTGGCCTGGGGGAGCTGCGACGGGGGAGCCAAGCCCAAGCCTCAGGGCCACCGGGGCGGTGTGGACGGAGGTCGGCCTGGGTCTGTGGGCTGTTCCATCGAGGGAGTGGGACTGCGCGGGCGGCGGCCGCGGTGCGGATTTACCCGTCCCGGTACTGCTCTCTCAGTACCCACTATTGGTGCTAGCCTTGAAGAGCTCCAGGGAAAACGGCGTTACAGTGCAGGGTGTGTGTGTGTGTGTGTGCGCACAGTGATGAAAGTCAGGCCCTGGAGGGAGATTCAAGTCTGACCCCTCCGAGTACTTAGGTCAGCGGACGGTGCTTGCTGGAGATAGGAGTGGATCTTAACATCAAGACTGTGTTAGGGGTGTGTGTGTCTGTCTCTCTCAAGAAAAAAATAAATAAAAAAAATAGGCTGGGGCCAGCTGGTGACAAAATGGTTAAGGTGCGGGACTCCCACATGGGGGACTGTAGTTCTAGTCCCAGAAGCTTAAAACTGACACAGATCACGAAATCCGCAAAGGAAAATGGAGGAGAAGGAATTGCTTGTGGCCATTTCCTCTGCTGGGGGGTGATTTCTTGCTTTCTATCTCTCTGTCTCTCCAGCAAGCACACACATCCTGTAGCAAAAATCTCACAAAAGAACAAAGGAAGGACTAATACCTTCTTTGAGGGATTGTGATGAAAAATTATAATGGGCCGTATTTTATCCTGCATTTTCTGAGTACTGAGAATTGTTTTGAGTATTTCCCAGAATTGGAAAAACAAAACAAACAAAACAAAACAAAACTCTGTCAGCTAAGTAATGTTACTGTATTCCTTTTGCAGGTACATTCAGATAATTAAGAGATTGATCCAAGGTCGAAGCTGGCAGATAAACAGAGCCAGGACTTGAAGGCAGTCAGCTTGGCTCCAAACCTTGTGCTTTTTAACTCTGGTGCCATTTTGCCTCTGGGAAACAGAGTATAATACGTGTAAAAGGTCTGTAAGGTATCTGGTTCGTGGTTTGAACTCTCAGCATTTAAATAGCTATTCCAATGGATATCTCTTTGTTCAGAGAATGTAAATGTAATAGAAAATGCTTCCTAGATCTAGAAAGTAACTGTCTAGTTAGGAAGACAAATACCACTTGCTAAAAATATTGAGAATGTTGTCAAAATAAAGGTTGAAATGTAGTTCATGTGTCATTGTTAATTGACCAGAATTTTTAGATCTAGGAAGGGCAAGAAAGGTTAAATTGACTTGGAAATGGTAAACAGGACAAAAGCTGTATCACTGATGAGTGATGGCCAGTTCTGGGTTATCCATGTTCATATTCATATTTGTCAGATAATGAGTAGAAAGGAAAAAGGACTTGGGAGATGAATATTGAAGAAAAAAGTCAAGTTGAAAGGAAAGAATATTCTAGGAACAGTTACTGAACCCCTTAAGGTAGGAATCCCAGGATTACAGATGATAAATGATGAACAGAGTGCTTGTAAAAGTCTGCAGTAAATGTTTCCCATGTCACCTGCCTTTCAATATTTCATTTCCAATACTGCATAAAAGAGATTAAATGAGAGTTTTTAAGTGGTGTAGTGGAAAGAAGAATGAATGCTCTTTAAGGATACCAGTTCTAGTTTGACTCTATTGAGCTTTATTGCTTTGAGTAAATTACGTTCTCACTGGATTTTAGGTTTTCTTATGTTTTGTATTTTTTAGAAAGGTTTTTACTATAGGGCACATGTGCTTGCTGAGGAGACAGAGACAGAGAGTCAGAAAGTGAGAAATCACCCTCCAGGGGGATGGCAATGCCCCAATCTTTTCTCCATTCTCCTCTCGGGATTTTGGGCATGCATGGACACACACCTGGTGTAAGTTTTAGCCACTGGGACTGGAACTCGAACCCTGGTCAACTACGTTGGAGTCCAGAGATATAACCATTACACCATCTGCTGGTCCTAGATTTTATTTTTTTTAGGAGATTTATGAATGCTTACCTAGAATGTGACATTTTTTGCAAAGTATTATGAAAGACAAAGCTATATTAAACATGGTTCTTATATGTAAGAACCTATTTATATTACTAAACTAAGGGAATTTAAAAAACTTAATGGACCAGAAAGGCCTGATGTTTCCCCTTTTGAATTCTGCTGAGTAAAAATGGGTTTATTCAACGAAAACTTATTTCAGGGCATTTGTGCATGATTTGTAGGTAAGGTAATAAAATAAAGATCAGTTCACCAAAAAAAAAAAAAACCTTAATGGAAAAATGGAATTATTTTGGTGCAAAAAATTTTCGAAGTTCATGCATGCCTTTTTTCATGAACTTTTTGAAGACTCCTTACAGGTAATTTGGAAGGTAAAATTTTAAATACATGAATTCTTTGTTTTTACTTTGTCACACAAACTAAAAGTTTTCTTAAGTTTTTCTCAAGGATTTGTAGGTATATTCTACACATCCAGCAACATGATACATTCCTCTACAATTCTGTTAAAATATAACTTAGAGTGAAGAAGCTTATGAAAATTTTAGAGAAGAAATCTAAAGTAAAAAAAAAGTACTTTAGAACTAGACTGTTCAGTCATTCTCATATTTCATTTATTGTAACAGTTTCACTTGTTAATGCTTTGTATAAAATTAGAAAATTGAAAAGTTCTGAGGCATCCTGTTTAGGTACTTCTTCATGAAGAAGTCAAAAACATTTAAATATGACATAGTTTATATTTATGATCCATGCAGCTCAATGTGTGACCTTTGGCAGTGGCATCAGTTGTGTATATAATGAAGTGCCAGTACTGGAATGTATTTACTTATGTTCAATTTCTGATATCATTCATAACCGGCTGTGTAGTCTCCAGTAAGTTCTCCCCCTCAGCCTCATTTTCTACACTTGTACAGTAGCCATAACAAAGTACTTTTCACATTCTTTTTGTTTTTTGTTGTTGTTGGTTTTTTTTTTGGAGCTTCTGGAGTGCGCCTGCACACTCCTCAGAGAGAAAGCACTCCTCCCCAAAGGAATGTGGTCACACACAATCCTTTTTCTTCCATTTTCCCACCCCATCAGGATTTGGGGCACATATGCACATTTACCTGACATATTTCTCAAGCTGCTGGGGCTGGGATTTGAACTGTGGTCAGCTATGTGGTATCTAGGTTTCTATGCACAGGCATTAGCTGCTATGCTATGGGGCTGGCCTTCAGATTATTTCCATATTCATTACTTGATATGATTTTCACAAATGGTTCTCACTTTACAGAAGAGCGAAGGCTTTGTGATAGAGACTTGTTTAAGAACATCTAATGTCTCTTAGAGACCAGACTTAAACTCCTGATTTGTTTTGTTTTATGTAGCTGTAGTTTCATTAATTTTCCATATTGCTTGCCTCTTGCTGATTAATTTTAAATGTTTTCTTGTAAATCTTACAGATATTTTTCCTCATTTTAGGGGAAATAAATCAGTTTAAGTCATAAAAGCTCATTAAGTCTTTAGTATTTATGTCTTGAGTACTTGAAACCTATGGGTTGCTAGATCTCTCTCTTATCTATTATCTGCCCTAATAAATTTACTCTATAAATAACAAGTCTTGTTGTATCTTCCTTTAGACTAGCAGATTTTAAAACTATGTTTCATGTATTAGATCTTTCTTTTCTTGGTACTGATTCATTTTCATTTTTGTTATTTGTTACAGAATCTCTGAAATGCAGACCTCCAGCTCTAGGTCTGTGCACCTGAGTGAATGGCAGAAGAATTACTTTACAATTACCTCTGACGTATGTGCATCAGGACAGAAGGCAGATGCATACCGTGCACAGATATTACGCATTCAATATGCATGGGCAAACTCTGAGATCTCCCAGGTCTTTGCTACCAAACTGTTCAAAAAATATGCAGAGAAGTATTCTGCAATTATTGATTCTGACAATGTTGAAACTGGCTTGAATAATTATGCAGAAAACATTTTAACTTTGGCAAGATCTCAACATACTGACAGTGACAAGTGGCAGTCTGGGTTGTCAATTAATAATGTTTTCAAAATGAGTAATGTACAGAAAATGATGCAAGCTGGCAAGAAATTTAAAGACTCTCTGTTGGAACCTGCTGATGCTTCAGTAGTGATCCATAAGGAGGCAACTGTCTCCAGTCTTCCTAAATTTAGTATTTATAGTGGTTCTGGAGAGAGTGACCTGTCATCTCACTCCTCTCGTGTTGATAGACCACATAGGACCCAAGATATCCCAGAAAGCCATCCTTTGAAATGCCCTCCGAGTGCCCAGCCAGTGATGGTGACCAACACCAAGACATGCCCTGCGTTCTCGGCGCCATTGAGTGAGTCAGCCTCTGCAAAATTCCGTGTTACACCATTATTTGGAAACATCAGAAAGGAAAATCTGAGCTTTCCCAAAGCCAACATGGGACTAAATATGTTCTCATCTAATCAGTCTTATTTTCCTTCTAGCTGTGAAAATTCACAAGAAAGAAAGACCTTCTATGGTTCTAGCACCACTGATGCACTTTCCAATCCAATACCAAGCAAAGCTTTTAATAAAACAGAAGATAGTGGCCAAAGGGAGGAAAATAGCCTACCTTCTTTTAAAACCGCAAAAGAACAATTATGGGTAGATCAGCAAAAAAAGTACCACCAAACCCAGCGTCCCTCAGGATCTTCATATGGTGGTGTAAAAAAGTCTCTGGGAGCTGGTAGATCCCGAGGAATATTTGGGAAATTTGTTCCTCCTATACCTAAGCAAGATGGGGCAGAGCAGAATGGAGGAATGCAGTATAAGCCTTATGGGGCAGGACCTACAGAACAAGCACATCCAGTTGATGAGCGTCTGAAGAACTTGGAACCAAAGATGATTGAATTAATTATGAATGAGATTATGGATCATGGACCTCCAGTAAGTTGGGAAGACATTGCAGGAGTAGAATTTGCTAAAGCCACAATAAAGGAAATAGTTGTATGGCCTATGTTGAGGCCAGATATCTTTACTGGTTTACGAGGACCCCCTAAAGGAATTCTTCTCTTTGGTCCTCCTGGGACTGGTAAAACTCTAATTGGCAAGTGCATCGCTAGTCAGTCTGGGGCAACATTCTTTAGCATCTCTGCTTCATCCTTGACATCTAAGTGGGTAGGTGAGGGGGAGAAAATGGTCCGTGCATTATTTACTGTTGCAAGGTGTCAGCAACCATCTGTGATATTTATTGATGAAATCGATTCCCTTTTATCTCAACGGGGAGATGGTGAGCATGAGTCGTCTAGAAGGATAAAAACTGAATTTTTAGTTCAGTTAGATGGAGCAACCACATCTTCTGAAGATCGTATTTTAGTGGTAGGGGCAACAAATCGGCCACAAGAAATTGATGAGGCTGCCCGTAGAAGATTGGTGAAAAGGCTTTATATCCCCCTCCCAGAAGCTTCAGCCAGGAAACAAATAGTAATTAATCTAATGGCCAGGGAGCAGTGTTGCCTCAGTGAAGAAGAAATTGAACGGGTTGTACAGCACTCTGATGGGTTCTCTGGAGCAGACATGACACAGCTTTGCAGAGAAGCTTCTCTTGGTCCCATTCGCAGTTTACAGACTACAGACATTGCTACCATAACACCAGATCAGGTTCGACCGATAGCTTATACTGACTTTGAGAACGCTTTTAGAACTGTGCGGCCTAGTGTATCTCCCAAAGACCTAGAGCTTTATGAAAACTGGAACAAAACTTTTGGTTCTGGAAAATAAGTGAGACACTTGAAATGAAAAGATGACATCTTTACAGTCTTTGTCACTTTTCAGCATAGGAAATGGGGGCATGTTAATTGTATTCTTCAGAATATATGCTAAAATCTGTACCTTAGTAGCTCAAATTTTATAACTGATTGAGATAACTGTGTTAATATGTTATATTTGGCTTCTAGTTATTGACTGATAAAAACAATATGAGGATGAACTTTGTTTCATTTTTAAGAAATGTTTATTTAGAAGGTGTGTAAAATGAATTACTGGTTAAATTTGAAACTTAAAATCTGGAGTTTATGAGGATGTGTCTGGTTAATACTCATTGTACTGAAGACAGTACCTTATGAAAGTCACATAATTCTTAATGTTGGCCAGTGTGATGGTTTAGGTTTTAGACAGCATTTCTTACTGTTATTTAAGTACATTAAGATCTTACCAAAGTCTAGAGAGAAAGTGTAAGGTTTTACTCTGTTCTGCTGGCTTATAGCCGAGGATTTTCTTCCCTTACCAGGACTCTAGTAAAATGTTCAGAGATAGTAAGGCATAATCTTCACTGAAAGAAATGTGTGTTTTCTTTTTGTTTGTTTTGTTTTTTAATGTGGGACCAGCAGGTGGGATAGTGTTTAAAGGACTGAACTCTCACATGGCCAACTGCAGTTCGAGTCCTGGACCTAGCGGCTTGAAAATCACTGTGTGTGTGTGTGTGTGTGTGTGTGTGCGCACGCGCGTGCGTCTGCACCCCAAATCCCGCGAGGATAATGGAGGAGAAAGGATCGCAGTATGGCCTCCTTCTGGCGGTGATTTCTTACTTTGTTTCTCCCTGACTCTCTGTGAGCACATATGCTCTATAGCAAAACAAAACAAAACAAAACAAAAAAACACTAAAAAAAAATGTTTTCAGATTTTTATAACGGACCACTTTTATAAATAAAGATTCATTATAGAAACTTTAGAATGTAGAGATAAAAGAATAAAAAGCACTGTCATCCTACTTTGGCGAATGTACCATTAATATTTTAGCACAGATTCTTCTACCTGTCTTGTTTTATACAAAACAGGAGTATATAGAAATAAGTTGTATTATACATTCTCATGTAGCCTGCTCTTTCTTTATATCATTTTCTATGTTGACATACATGTCTACAGTATCTTTATACCATCACTTAGTATTCCATTGTGTAGATAGACTGCTTATTATAAACAAAAATATTTTGAATGCCATTTTGTGATTTCTTTGTTTAAAAATATTGTTAAAAACTCTGGTGAAGTTTTTAAGCTTAAAAGGTATACACATTTTGGAAGCTTTGGCATGCATTCTAAATTATCCTCTAAGAAAGTAATGCTTGTGTAGAATTTCCCAAATCACTGAGTCAAAGAACTGTTTATCTGTCCTTGGGCACCATTGGACAGGAAGTAATTTTGTTTTTCTTAGCACTCTTTTTAATTCATCCCTTCAAGAAACAATGCCAAACAGTGTTCCAGGTGCTAAAGGGAGAGCAGTGAACACACAGACAGATGTCCTTGGCCTCTTGGGGGTTGCTTGCAAGTTCTTAGGACATTTCTGTTAACAATGCAATGGAATTCGAAACACAAATTTAGGCAGTTGGGTGTGTGTGCTTTAATTTTTTTAAATTTTTGGTTTGCCTCCTATTTTTATGCTATTTTAAAAGCTTTATTGTTGCAGGTTGCAGTTTTTCCCCTTGAAATATGTGATTGTCTTTTATTGGAATTTGGATGATAAACTTGTCTCTAGTTTTTACTTATATACCTTCTAACATCTTAGAACATTTCACAATACTCATTACTGTCTTTGTCCTTACCCATTTTCATATAACAGCACTATAACCTTGGATTTCTAGTATAATTCTCTGTCATTTTTCTTTCCTAATATTTATTTTCTACATTCCACTCCTCTCTTGAGTCTTGCAATTACCATAGCTATTTTGATTTATCAGCAATTGCCCACTAGATGTTAGTGTTTTACTTAACTCTATAATGTGGTCTTAATGTGTATTATCAGTTTTTTCCAACTGCAGCTTGTGCCAGTTCTTACTTTCAGCTCTTTTGATCACGGTCCACAGTGCTGCTTCCCTTCTACTGTGGGGCTTAATTTAGATTATGTGCTGAGAACAGTTCTAGTTGGTTCAGCTCACCTTGGATTAGGGAGAGCCCAGGCCTGTGGTTACCACTGAAATGGCTCCTGAATTAAGTTCTGCTCTATTTGGTAAGAATCTAAGTCTGGGAGGAATAATATAGTTTGAAGTTGGAAAGAAAATTTGAGCCAAGGAATTACTCGTTTTTACCTTATGCTGCATAGAAATTACCTTCTCAGCTTTTTGTAATCTTGAGTAGTTGGGTAGGAAATTTCCTGAGACTTTAAGATGCTTTCTGTCTCCATATATGATTATCTTGATTAGCTGTGATAATCTTGGATTCAATTCTATCCTGAATGTTGGTGTTGTATCTTAGCTATTGTTTCAGAGAAATCACTAACCTGATTTTTAATATCCTTGAAAATACATTTTCTTTGTAGAAGAACATTTTACCAACACATGTTACTTAGTTGAACTGATGCTTAAAATTTTTGGTGAGAATATTTTTTTAATGTGAGTCTTTCTCAATAGCTCTGTTGTGTGTGTGTGTGTGTGTGTGTGTGTGTGTGTGTGTGTGTATATATATATATATGTACAGATGGCCCTTTTGATTTGTATTCTGGGTTTTTTTCTTTCTTGCTTTTTTTTTTTTTTTTAAGAATTGCCAGAGGGTGTATGGAAGGGAGAGGGAGAATGCTCTCCCCAGTGGTGCATGATAATGTCACAATCATGTCTCCATTTCTCCATCCTATTAGGATATTGGGCTTGCACGCGCATATGGCTCATGTGTTTGTTTTCCAAGCCACTGGGGCCAGAAGTCTAACTGGTTGCCCACGTGGGATCTGGCTCCCTTAACCACTAGGCTATGGGACTGGCCCAATTCTGTGGGAAATTTGTTTTATAGTCGTCTTTTTCATTCTTTTGAAATTTTAATTCATTTTTCTCACTGAAGTACATATTCATTCTGCCTTCCACAGTAACAAGTTGGTCTTGATAAGGTCGAGTCACAGTGTAACGATCACGTTTGGAGCTCTGTAAATTTGTTGAATTCTGGTTTTGTCATCTACTAATTGTGACTATAGACTATTTAATCATTCACTCTTGATCCTAAAGTGAGAACAGTTTGTGCCTATCTTGTTGGAGAATGAGGATTAAACAGTAAAATATGCATTTTTTTTTTAAATTACTAAGCTTGATTAAGTTTGCTGTAGGGTGCTTCTGCTTACTGGAGAGAGAGTGTGTGTAAGGGAGAAATCCCCTCCTGGAAGATGACCACACTGCAGTCTCTTCTCTGTTCTCTCCCTGGGGAGAGGTAGGGCAGGTGTGATGGGACTTCATGGGCATGCATGTACATGTGCCTCATGATTTTCAAGCTGCTGGGTTTAGGACTTGAATTGCTCTATTGGCCATGTGAAATCCAGCCACCTTAACCTCCATACCACCTGCTGGTTTATAAAATGTAGGTTTAAAAGGTTCATGGTTCAGTAATTGAGCATGCTCTTCTCTCCATCTTGCCTAATTTTTTTCATTGCTTCAGAGGATCATTTTCAACTATTATATGTGGTTGTCTGTTCTAGCTTATTCTGCTTAGTGTTGGTGATATTTGCTTCTCATTATTAGAGATCATACACCTTTTAAATTTATCTTTAGTTTCATGGAATAAATATAATAAGAAAGAGAAATACTTTCAAGTTATGTTTCTTTTTTCCTTGACTTTAGAACTTTTTCTTAGTTCCCAGAATATTTGTCATTATTTGTCATCCCTATGCATTACTAACTGGTCTCCATTGTTCTTCAGTATTTAAGGGAAATTTTGCAATCTGTTTCCAGATGGCTGATTGAAAGAGGATTTTATGCAGGTTCCTGGCAAAAGGCAGGTCAGATAAAGATACATCTCTTAACTTTCTTCTCAGGTTCTTAGTTCTTGACCTTGAATTGGGTTGGTAGTGAACCAGAAGATGGAAGCACATTTTATGCAGCCAAAGCAGATGGAACTCATTAACACCTGCCCTTGCATCATGGCTGAGTGGAGGAGTCTTGTGAGAATAGAAGAGACTTGGTCATCACCTTAACTCTTGTCCTTAAATAAGACTTGATTTTTTTTCAGAACTCAACAGTTTGTGACAGGAAGAACATTAGAATGGGCATTAGAAAACTCAATGATTCTGATCTTGGACAGTGCACATATCCCCTGAGATCTCAGTTTTAGCAATAAAAATAAGGGAGTTGTACTAGATAATCTAGAATGACACATTCAGGCTTGCTATTCTGTTAATTATCAGAGGTTAATTTATCAATTTGACAGATGCTTCCAGAGTACCAGGTGCTGTGCACTGTGCTGGGAACAGAGAATGTAGTCATGAAAAGCTGTTTAAGCATTACTGATTTGGGTTATATAGAAACTGGACAGGAAAACATGAAGACAGAGCTTTGATAGAGAGTTCAGTAAGTCAGCCTAATTGCCCCTCTGTACATAAGTCATTTAAGAAAAGGGAAAACAACTCAGGATAGCTAGGAGGGATTCCTAAGGTGGCATGTTAAGCAGCATGCTCCCGGTAAGGCATTTGGAGCCTGGTGTTCTGCTATGGCCAGCTTTAGTCACAGCAAACAGCCACATGCCTGCTGACCACCAGTGTCTGCCAGGGTCAGAGGACCTACATCTTCGAACTGTCTGAATCCAATCCTGCTCAGGAATTTAGAGATGCCTTAAAAGACTGAGTAAGTCCTAGGTTGCACAGATACAGCCTGGGCAAGCACTTAGATGACTTAAAAGACTGGTTAAGTCCCAGGTTGCACAGATAAGACCTGGGCAAGCACTTAGTAACACAAGGACATGTGTGGCACAGTGAGTGGAGAGGGGTTCTGCTGGTAGAGTCCAGAGCAGGACCTTATTCCTTTTCTCTTTCCCATGGCCCTGATTGTGGGGCCCAGTTCTCATCCCCATGTGTGACTAAGACAACATTTAGTCCCACAGTGGGACCCATATTAGTAGTTCTATCCTCTTGATGGCCCCATCCTTTGGTGTCAAGAATTGCTTTTGTTTCCAAGGTATGCAGTATGCAGCTCAGCTTTCTTTATAAATGCTTCTAGAAATCTACAGTTTTATTTTTTTATGTACCCTTTTGAAGAAAATAGGTTAAGTAGAAAAGGCATATTGTGGAGATTTCCCTTTAGGATAGTGAACTAAACCACAGATGTGCTTTTCAACCCATAAGTGCAAAATCCTGATTGAAATGAAAAAATGTTGCCTGTTGCAGAGCACGGTGGTAACAGCACTGCAGTGCAGGAAGCTACATGGAAGACTGGAATATGGTTCTTGGATTGAACTACACATGCCAGGTGTGCAGCTGTCTGTGAGTGATCCTGACTGGCTGGGAATGCTGGTGGAAAGATTGGCCATGAGTGCCTTTTGGGGGTGTTTGTCTTTCTTGAAAGAAGGGAGAGAAGGAACTCAAAAGATATAAACCAAGAATAAACCTGTTTCATGTTTGAGAAAAGGGAAGGATGCCTT